AAAGAAAGAAAGAAAGAAAGAAAGAAAGAAAGAAAGAAAGAAAGAAAGAAAACAGAAAACTGCAGCTAATGTAGTCTAATAAGAGTTTTTACCTGGCTTTTAAATGAACGTTCTGTTTTCTGTAATTCTTCTTTCATTTCTTCAATTCGCCGCCTAAAAATTACATTTGGCATTATCAATTAAAACACAACTAGATAAAATGGAACAATCCAACAGTGTTCCCTTAATTCTGAATAGCTACAGTATTAAAGATATCACCAGACATACAAAAACATGTTTTATATAGATTTACTTGAAGTACAGTATAAACAAAAAATTAATTTTCCTGCCATTTCATGGCTAGAGATTCCTAGACTATCATTTCCTTAATGGTCTTCAATATATTTTCATAACGGCCGCTATGAGTATTTGCTTCTACACAAACATACAGGTGTTTCTTCTTTCTTCTAATCGACAGGAAATTAAACAGACTATTGACTACTGAGCTATCAAGTGGAACAATCATGGCAGTGATTTTCACATATCAAACTGTTTTCATTAAAGAATGACTCTAATACAGTGGTTTTCAACCTGTGGGCTGCAACCCCTTTGGCAAACCTCTATCTCCAACAATATTTACATTACAAATAATGACAATAGCAAAATTACAGTTATGAAGTAGCAATGAAAATAGTGTTATGGTTGGGACACATGAGGACCTGCATTGAAGGGCTGGAGCATTAGGAAGGTTGGGAACTACTGCTCTAGTATATAAAATTCCTCCCCACTCTGCTGCCCCAGAGCATCTGCAGGAAACACGGGCCTTTGTAGTCTTATCAGCACGTGGGCTATTTTTTCCCTCTGTGACTGAATAGACTCACATCCCCACCTTACTCAGGTTCCTATGCTGTTCTCTTGTGCACATTTTCTCCAGTTGAGAAAGCAAGCAGAGCCCTATGCAGAGCCTGAACTTACTTGTATGTCTTTACTTCCTCTGCAGCCAGAACCACCTTCTCATCGGCAGCCGTTAGTCTCTGCTCTCTGTCTTGCCGCTCATACTCTTCTTGACTCAGTTTTCTAGGATGAAACCAGTTACAGGTGACGGACCTTCTCATGGCAGTTGGCTCTTGTTCAACTGTCCCTTCCTATCCTCCTGTTGGTTGGTTGGGTTTTTTTTGTTTGTTTGTTTTGGTTTATGTTTTTTGTTTGTTTCTCTGCCTAGCCCTGGTTCACTCTGTAAACCAGGCTGGCCTGGAACTCAAGATCTGCCTGCCTCTGCCTCCTGAGTGCTGGCATTAAAGGTATGTACCATAGTGCCCTGCTTCCTATCTTTGCCTTAATGCCCAGACAGATGAAGTCAGGCAAGTTTTCAAAATTTCCCTTATATCTAGGAAGTCAAACTCTGACTTCTTGGCAAGCCAGAAGCCATTTTCAGTGTATCCCACAATTTCCTCTAACAATAAAACAATCATAAAAAACACTGTGCTCAGTGGGTAACATGCACTATAATAGGTAATAAAAGCTTCCTGTCGTGTGGAAAACAGCCATCCCACTCAACTAAAGCAGGGGCAAATACTTCTTTTTGCCCTGGAAAAGGTACTAATTACTTGTTTATGTTGTCCTGGAAGAACTGTTGTATAAAAAGCCAGGTACCCGTGCAGGTGCACACCTGTAACTCCAGCAGGGCCAGGCAGAGGCAGGCAGATTCCTGACGCTCACAGGCCAGCCAGACTAATGGAATGGATGCTCTTCTGATCAATAAATGATATGACCCAAAAAATAAACATTAACATCAAAGGAGGAAAAGACATCCAATTTTGACCTCTGACCTCTACACTCATATGCACACATGTGCATACCCACATTAAGTACATATAGTGCACACACATACAACAGCAACACCTAATCGCAAGCATATATACATACAAAGAAAAGGCAAGTTATAGAAATAAAGCCCAAAGAGAAACTCAAGGCTCTGCTAATTATAAATGGGAAAACTGTAAATAAGCTTTAGAAAAGAGGGTGTGTGCAGGGCTAGCAGAGAGCATGGGGCCTACTTCTGCAGAGCCATCTCCTTCTGCTGGTACAGCTCATTCAGGATCTCCACCTTCTGCCTCAGAGTTTTGCACTCATCTTCCAACCCAGCTTTAGCAGTCTGCAGCGAGCTGCGGTCATCTTCCAATTTCTTGATTTGGTCTATAAGGGATAAAAGGGGCAGAAGCTTGAGAGACAGGGCTGAGGGGTCACTTCTGAGAAGTGAGAAGAAAACACTGGGGTCTACTTATCTTGCCAATCAAATTTTAAGTTGTTTTAATATGTGGCAATTTTGTCTCCAGAAGAACCTACCTTCCAGGTTACATTTAGTAGACATCGATGCTCTTAGCTTAAGCTGTAAAAGTTTTAGATCCTCTTCAACTATTGAGACTGCAGTTTGTGTCTAAAAATAACAGAAGAAAGATCTAGTCTTAAAAGAGAGCCATAGAAAAGACTCCCTGGTACTTCTGGGACTACAAACAGGTCAGTACCCGAGAGACGTCCATCATCTGCTTAATTCTGTTTTTTATCTTCTCGCTCCGGTCACCTGCAAGAGAAAAGCTTCCATTGCTTTTCCTTCCTTGCTCTTTAATGACATTTTCATGACTTCCCTCAAACAACGATCACATTCAAACAGCAAATAAAAAACAAAAAAAAAAGTCAACTAAAAGAAATGATTAACTGATTTAGAATTGAAATTTTATATTTACAAACTACCAGTTTGTACCATTTAAAAGAAAAAAAAAAAAAGGCATCCTTGCTCCAAGACAGAGTGCTTTCTTCTCTCAGATTGCCTAAAACTGGACAAATGCCTACTACTTGAAAACATCTAGACCTTTGTTCTGCCTTGAGTCTGCTAGCGGGTATGATTTAAAGCACCCCAGCGGTAAGGAGCAGTTAGTATTCCACCTGAGAGACAACTCTTGATCAGGCATCGGTCTCTAGCATCCTGCTGTGCCTGCAACTCTAGCTTCTTACCTCACAGCCTGAGCTGTGATTCCAACCTCCTGAGGCCTCTGAAAAAAAAAGCTGCAAGCGCTAAGAGCAGAGCCCCAGAGACCACACTGTCAAGATGAGTTCCCCTGGGCAGTGTTGATACTTAGAGACAAGAGATAACTCCACTGTACACACCTTGTTCTCGGGGGATAGGTAAAAAAAATGTCAGTGTTCTTTGCATGCCTACACAAGTAACCCCCCTGCCCAACACAGACATACCATCTACACGTTCATTAGTGTGAGCCCACAGCACTAAAGCTTAGCACAGCTGAAAAGCAGCTTCAATGAATGGAAATTCAAGTCAAGAGGGCAAAAATAGGTCCAACCTCCCCGAGACAGACCTTACCTCCCATCTCTCCATTGGCCAGCTCGTCTGCCTCATTTCCTCCTTTATTTGGATCCTCAGATTCAAGTTCACATTCTAACCGATTCAACTGTGTGATGCAATTAGTCAACGCCTAGAAAAGAAGCAAATGGATGTAAAAGCCTCTTGATTCTAAATCAGAACACATGGATTAAGTGTATATTCATGAGAGTAAACTTACACTAATATTGTCATCTTTGTGAGTCAGAGCGACTTCCAAGTCTTTCTGGGACTTCTCAAACGACTTGATCTGTTCAGTGAGCTCAGCATGGGATTTACTCCACTCTTCAATCTGCTGCTGCAACTGAAAAGTCAGAGAGCATAAACTCCTTCCTATGTGCAGGGGTGCGATGGGAGAGAGACGAGCTGTGCGAGACAGTGGGAGGAAGCCTTGGCTTGTCATTATGAGCTCAAACCTCAGTTAAAGAAGGGGAGAGTGGTTCCAACCCTCAGAGCTGAGGTAAGAACATCAGTGTGTAAAGGAGGCTGACCCAGTTGTCCCAGCATTCAGAAAACTATTGCTAAGTCAACTTAATTTGCTTCCAGTAGGATGAGTGGGCACATCTCACAGACTCCTAAATCTAGACTCTCTGGTCATATAACCTTCCCTTAGTCAGTAAAGTTATTAAAACATGGTTAAAAATATTTAAGTTTTGGACATAAAAATCCAATTATTTGCTATTTTAAGGCTACTCAATTTTACAAGTCAAGATAAAAAATAACCACCCTGAGAGCTTCGATAAGTTATAGAGAAAACTCCTGAAGCAGATCCCTGCTCCACCTGGGAAGCAGAGTGTACTCCTCCCAGCAGCCAGCCTGAGGGGAGACTGCTGAGGGGAAGTGCCTTCAGTATTAGGTAGACAGGCCTTACCTGCTCTTTCTTCTTCTTAAGCCTGGCGTTTTCTTCTTGAACCCGATGGCATTCAGATTTTACATTCTCTTCACTGAGCTTGGCTTCATTAAGGGCAACTTGAACCTAATAAAAACCACTCCCAATTAGTAAATTAATGCAAAGAAAAAGTTAACATTTCCTTAACCAAACATGTAGGTTTTTTACATGTTTTAGCACACCTCAAACTTTTGTTCAACTAAACTAAGACAATCCTTAGATAGGACACAGACGATATTCTTGTTACAGCATACTCACCTCTGAAAGTTCTGATGCATTCATCGAAATGACCTCTTTCAACTTCTCAATAGACTTCTTGTTTTCCAGTATCTGACCCATGAAAGCAGAAGACAAAGCCTCAGGTCTCAGCAAAATCACTAGTGTACACATATGCTGACTTTATTTGCTTTCTACTGCTGTGATAAACTGCCCAAAGCAACCTGGAGAGCAAAGGGTTTATTTTTGCTCCATCATCTAAGGAAGTCAGGGCAGGAACCTGGAGACAACTGATGCAGAGGCCACAGAGGAATGCTGCTCACTGCCTTCTTCCCCATGTATTACTCAGCTGTCTTACTTTCTTTTAGTTTCTAGGACCACCAGCATAGAGGCAGCACTGGCCACAGAAAGATGGGCCCTCTCACATCAACCATCAATCAAGAAAACACACAACAGACCTTCCCACAGGCCAATCTGGGGAGGGCATTTTCTCAACTGAACTTCTCTTTGTGTTAAGTTGACATAAAACAAGCTAACCCACACACTAAAGGATGAAACATATCCCATTATAGCCCGTGGTTTGGGTAAAATTAAGAGATCCAGTTTTGGCCTAAGGGGGGGAAAAATAAATGTACTAATGATCCAACCTTAGTTACAAGATAATGCAGCACATAACTGCATAAAAAAATAAAAGAATAAATCAAGTAAGACAATTCAAATTACTGTCATGGTTGTGTTCCATTCCCAGTAGAGAAAAACTTTAAAAAAAAAAAAAAAATCTCTGCCTAGCTAACTAAGCCTGATAATTTAGGAGACTGAGACACAAGGGTCATGAACTCAAGACCTGTCTTGGCTACAGAGTTCAAAGCCAGCACAAGCAACTTAGTGGAAACTGTCTCAAAATTAAAAACAGAAAAGGGATAATGCTATAGGTCAGTGTTACAATACCCAGTTACCCTGTGTGAGACACTAGGGTCAAAATCCAAGAGCAGAGGGGGTGGGGGAGAATTTCATTGCCTAAATTGGGAATAGAAGAATTTGGAAGAAAATAGACCAATCTCATACACAGGAATTCCAAAAATTTATGAAGACTCCAGCTCCTCAAGGGGTGGAAAATGTAATTCTTCCCTCTAACTGTGAGCCATGCATAGTGGTTTCCAAAGAATACAGTAAACAGAGCTGAAAAGAATAATTTAACATCAGAGAAATATGGCTAGTACTTCCTTAGCTGGGCATTAGCTCTGCTGAGGTATCATATAATAGAAAGCCTCTCTGTTTTCTCTGCAACTGTTCATGAAACTTAAATAAGTTACTGAAAAGAGAATTTTTAAAAGTCAGAACAAAATCTAAGAACATTCAATGAGGCCAAAATTCATAGTCTACCTGGCTGGAGGGCAGAGCCCAGCCATTTGACACTGGTCCAGTATTGAGAACAAAAATACTCTTCCTGTGGCCATAAGAGTAACCCAGGGTTACAAAATTCCATAGGCAAGCCACAGTAGAGTCAACTTCCCTGACTCCCACTTCCACTGACGCTAACAGCATGGGGAAAATTCCCCTCACTTAGCATCCTTCAAAAGCCCAATTACATTTCCAGTGAGCAGCTTATCTTACCAAGTCCTGGTTCTTGATGTTCTGTTCTCTCTCAGACTCTAACTGAAGACGAAGGCTTTTGGCTTTGTCACCCAGACTTACATTAGTTTCTTCAAGTATCTTGATTTTATCCTCAACAAAAACAAAAATACTAAGATTAGTAAGAATTACTCTTTCCAATTGCTTTCACTTGTAGAATGCAATTCTCCCCTAAGAGATTTTTACCTTATATTTCACAGCTTCATCAGAGAGAATCATGTTTTGTTTCTTGGCTTCTTGAACATATTTCTTTGACTCCTTGATCTATATAAAACAAGGTGTTTAGGATTATGTTACAACTTAGAATTAACTACAAATTATAGTGCTAGCAAAGTCACTTCCAAGTGGACAACCTCCTCTAGATAACTGTTTACATCTCCAATGGCACATAGGAAATGATAAAATAAAATGAATCTTTAAAATCATAAATGGAATGTTAAGATAGAAACATTCAAGCTGGAATGGGGAAGTTAAAAGAATAATTATACCTTTTGTTCATAACTTGACAATTTTTGCATAAGTTCTGCATTTTCTTTCTTGATATTCTCCAACTTTTCAGAAATTTGTTTCTCAGTAACTAAAAAGAAGGGAAATCTGTAAGTTTGAGCCTAAGATGAAGCCAAATGCCCCAGTATATTAACAGCGAGGTCTGGTGCCGGGCACTAAGAGAGGGAAACCATGCTTTCCATGACTATTATGCCCTTAAAGGCAGTCTATAGTGATTACAGTAAGGGTGTAAGAATGTTAAGCCTTAAAAAGTGCAGTGTGCAGACTTTACGTTTAATTTAGAGATACAGAATTTAAGGAAGTGCTATTATACCTTTGCCACATCTCAGACAATGAGAATGTTTCAAATGCCATTTGCAAAGAGAAACTGAGAAACACAAAATACCAGCTCCCTCCACCATCCTGGACACTGTCCACTCAGATGTGTGTTTGTCACAGGGAAGGAGTCTGTACTGCATCAGCATGCATACTTGATCTGCCCATGGTAACTAACTAACCCTGTTCTCCACACTCCCTCCATCTGCTGATCTCTGTCGCCTGTCTCAGTTGGCATCCCCACGGTTCTCCCAGCCAAGCTGGTGGGCTAGAGACAGTCAACTTTCCAGGAGTTAATAAAGCAATTGGACAGTAGAAGTCATGGCGTCTAAGTCTATGTTACAGAAAACTCCCATCGAACACCAAAGCAGAAGGTTAATACAAGGGAAAACCTAAATATTTACCTTGATATACTCTACTCTTTACCTACAAGAAAAGAAATAAAATTAGGTTTGTTGTCAAACACTTAAGTAGCAATTGTTCTTGATACAGAAGAACCATAAACAAATGAGAAGTTAGTAACAAACTTGGTTTAGTATAATAAACCCATAGTATTTGAGAATAAGGAAAGGTTGGGCTGGCATGACAGCTCAGCAGGCAAAGGTGCTTGTCACTAACTCTGACATCCTGAGTTCCATCCCAGGACCCACATGGTGCAAAGAGAAAGCCTGCAAGTTATGCTTTGATCTGCACATGTGCACATGGCTCAAATGTATACAAATAAATAATAAACGTAATCTTAAAAATTTTTAAAAAGACAAGGCTAAAAGGCATTTCAAATGTAATTGGTACAAATACTTCACAAATAGCCTCAATAGATATATTTTAAAAATTATAGCTAAAAGTATGTTTATTAGCAGTGATGCTTCATAACACAAGTGGCTACTTGCTTAGTAATAATAAACACATCAATGTTCTAGTTACTTGGTACCATCTGACAACTCTGAATAGCTAGAGGAAACTCATGTGTTCAGAAAAATATCAAAGAAACAAAATTCAAGGGAAAATCTTTTCATTTAGATATACATCTTTCACTCACCAGAAACTATTTTAGAAATCCTATTCAGAGCTGTCTACCTGATGAATGTAGGAGAATAAGCAGTGGATAAAGCTTTTGCCATGCCAGTGTGAGGACCTGAGTTTGGAAGCCCAGAAGAATGGCAGTATGTTTGTAACCCCAGTGCTCCTACAGTGAGATGGGAGGTGGCAGTATGAGTCTCCCAGAATCCTTCAGGCCAGCAGCTTGTCACATGTGGTGATGGACAATTGAAAAGAAACTGGGTCTCAAAAAAGAGGAAGGCTAGAACTGACACCAGGGGTTGGCCTTTGAGCTCCACACATGTACACTTACACACATAGAGACACACACACACACACACACACGCATGCACACGCACATGCGCACGAACACAGACACACAGAAAAACTAAAAACAAGTTAGGAATCTGACAGAGCACATCATCTGACTTCCAAGACTAATAGTGGTACATGGTACTCGGCCTGAAGAGGACATGGTACTACAGGAGACATACAAGAAAGCGGACAGCTACAATTGTTATTCCCATCAAGAAAGCAATGACCTCTAGATCTGAAAGATTTACTAAATTTACTTTTCCTTGTAAGTCTTGGTCTCACTCCGTAGCCTTCATTAGTCTGGAACACTATGTAGACCAGGTTAGCCTTGCAGTCACCTGCCTCTGCCTCCTGAGCACTGGGACTGTAGGTGTATGCTGCAACACCTAGCCCAAATTTCTTAAGAAACAATTACATTTTTGTGTTCATGTGTCTGCGTGTGTACATCCAAAGGCATACATATGTACATGTGTAGGTCATAGGACAACTTGTGGGAGTTGGTTCTTATCTCCAACCATGTGGTGTCCTGGGATCACAGTGAGGTTGTCTTCCTTAGCTGCAGGCACATTATCCACTGAGCCAACTTGCTGGCCTGCTAAGTTAATTTTAACTCAAAATATATTTCTCCTTTCAAATACTACTATTTTAAAAACTTTAGATGTATTTATTTGTAGTGTTTAATTTATTGTTTATTTTGATTAATGTGTTTATTTGTATTGTATATGTTTAAATGTTTTGCATGCATATGCCCCATGCATGCCTAGTGGTTGTAGGAGCCAGAAGTGAGCACTGGATCTCATGGAACCTGAGTTATAGATGTTCACAAACCACCGTGTGACAGCTGGGAATCAGATCTGGGTCCTCTGCAAGAGCAGCAAGTACTGGATCATTACTGAGCCATCATCTCTCTAGCCCTTCGATACTAACTGTCTTTAAGTGGTGATGATATTCAGAAGCATCCATAAGTCATCCATGAAGTTTCAGTCTTATCCATATAAAACATGCATAATTATCTTGTTATAAGAAAATACATTCTGGGGGTGGAGAAATGGCTCAGTGGTTAAGAGCACCGACTGCTCTTCCAGAGGTCCTGAGTTCAATTCCTAGCAACCACATGGTGGCTCACAACCATCTGCAATGGGGTCTGATGCCCTCTTCTGGTGTGTCTGAAGAGAGCAATGGTGTATTCATATACATAAAATAAATAAATAAATCATAAAAAAAAAGAAAAGAAAATACATTCTGGAGCTGGAGAGGTGGCTCAGCAGTTAAGAGCAGTGGCTGCTCTTCCAGAGGACCTGGGTTCAATTCCCAGCACCCATGTGGCAGGTCACAACTGAATATAACTCCAGTTCCAGGAGTTAAAACAAAACAAACAAAAAACTTCCAACACAGGGAAATGAATGACTTTCTCTAATGCCGTAGCCTTCCCAATCAATGAATAAGCTTCTCTTATCCCATTTCACCCAAACTAACAAGAACAGGTAAGTTGGCAGAAGCAAAACCCAGGTTATCTTAGGGAAAAGGCCAAGGCTCCAAAGGTGAATGTGTATATCTGAGACACAAATTGTGCCCAGGAAAACAAAGGAATGAAAATGTAATAATGTGTCTCTGGACACTATATAATCTGTAACTCCAAATAAAAAGGACATTTTTTGAGTACCACAACATATGATCAAACCAGAAAAAATTGAGGAACATATATAAAGAAAAAGACTAAGGCTTGGGAGATGGCTTTAGGATTAAGAGCACCTCCTTCCCTTGCAGGACAGAAGTTTGTCCCACAACGACCTAGAACGTCAGCTCCAGTGGGTCTGATAGGCTCTTCTGGGCGCCTCACCCATCCACATGCACATGCACATAGGCACATGTACATGGACATACAACACATAATGAAAGAAGGCTGAAAGGACCTCATTTGCTAGCTGTGTGTGTCACTGTGCTGTACTATTTGCAGTGTGTGTGCATGTTTGTGACATGTGTCACTGAGATGCACCATTTGCAGTTGTTTATGATATGTGTCACTGCACTGTACTATTTGCAGTATGTGAGCCTGTGTTAATGACATGTGCCATTCACATCACTTTCAAGGCACAGCTTGTGATTCATTCTGTTTCCCACTAACTCACAAGCATTTGCTGCACCCAGTGTCATTTCAGTTGTCAAATATCCCATCACATGCATGTGTATTAGGTTCCTGCAAGTTCCCACTTGAATAAATACTCCTCCAGGGCTGGCAAGAGAGCTCAGCAGGTCAGGCGCCTGCTCCCTGAGGATGTCAGTCAGATGCGGAATTCGAGCCGTGGAATCCATGTAAATGCAGAAGATGAGAACCAGTTCCACAAAATTGTACTCTGAGTTCTCATGGTATATGTGCAAGTGCACACACAGAAAATACACACACACATACCCACACACACACACACAACTAATAACTATCTAAAAATAAAGGCTGTCTCATTAAACATTCTTGTGTAAGATCTTTAATGTATGATTAATTAGTTATTTCTTTCAGATTGATTATTTGACAAGGCATCATACTATATAAGAGGATAACTATTATCCAGCCTACTCCTTTATAAAATATCTGATACATATTATTAAATTACTTTTTAGGATGGCTTTAAAGAATTCCCAGTTCTACTTACAATGTACATGTAGCTACCAAATGGTATAGGAGTTTTTTAAAATCAAACTTTTCTAATCAAAATTATAAATACGTTATCTTGTTCTCTTAATTCTTTATCAATACAAAAATTACACTAAATTATTTGAACAAGTTAACTAGAAGTATAACCATTAACTTGTATTCATGTAGTAATTAAAAATAAGTAAGCAAAAGGGTCAGTGATCACAAAATACTACATGTACTTTTGAGTCATGTGATAAGATAATTTAATTTACTTACAACAAGAATACTTCTCCAGGAGAAAATTGCAAATGAAACAATTCCCAAGAGTGCAGTAATGATCACAGGCTGCCATGGCAGTCCATAAAAGTCAGGCCCGGGCTGGACATTATCAGGCAATGTGGCAATTAGCTGAAACAGACAGATTAGAAATAATGGAAAACTTTAAAATTTTTACCATAAAACATTCATAAAGAATCCTCATAGAAATTCTAAACCAATCTCCATCAGGTAAGCACTCCAGGCCATCTTCAATAACTCCCACTTCGAGAAATACAGGATATTGTCAGTCTCTAATTTGACTTGTAGAGTACTCAAGCAGAGACACTAAAATACTTTTTAAGTTTTAAGTTGGACATAAATTTCCAGTTTCTAATAGGCTCTGTTATATTGTGTTGTCTATTATATACTTAGAAATTCCCTGGATCATACTTTTAGATAAGTTTTATTACTTTAAAAAGCACACAACACAAAAGTTTTAAATATATAAGTAATCAACTTTTGTGGATGCAAAAATCCAGTGTTATAATGTAACGTGTTATTCTCGTAATATTTTAAGTTATTGGCTACATTCTTACATAAACAAAGACAGGTGATGAGTAAGTCCAGACGGTTCTTGATAACTGGTTTAGAGGTCAGGCTCTCAGATGTCGTCTATGCGGCTCTGTGTCTGAGCTCTAACCGTTTCCTCAAAGGCAGTATTACACAGGTGTTACCCACTCTACACTTTCACTGCCTGCTAATTACAATACTGGCCCCACCCCCCACACTGCCGCAAGGAAAGGACTCCACCACGTAACACATTGCCTGTCACTGTGGCAGTGCTCTCTGAAAACCCAACAAGTGACCAAGGCGTCCCACACCGCAGCGCCGCGTCCCGCCGGCCCCGGGCTCCGCTCGCCTCTCCGGGACCGTCGCTCTGGACACTCGCTCTGCCCACCACTGGTCCTCCCGCCTGCCACAGCCGCGACCCTTCCCTGCGACTAGCGACTGTCACCTCTAGGAGCTTGGCTATGAGGGCTGCGTAGAACACCGAAAGGGGCCCCAGCAGCTCGGGGTCCCCCGGGGAGGCGGTGACAGAAGGCACGGTGGCAGGCAATGAGTCCATCGTGTGGGGGCAGCTACGCGGAGACGACGCTTCCTGCGGACAGCTCCGAGCCGGCTTTCACCGCTTCCGCCTTGGGAAGGACCGGCTCCGGGGGGCGGACACTGGGAATGAACTTCGCCTTCCCGGGCCGCGGCACCTTCCGCACTAGGCCTCCGGCAATACACGTCATCAGACACGGCCGAGGAGCGACGTCAGCGCACCCAGGAAGCCAGCGAGCGGGGTGTGCGGGGGGCGGGACGGGGGCGTGGCAGGGGCGGGACAAGTGCGGAGCAAACCAACCGCCGGGTGGAGCTGGGGGGTGACAGCGCGCTGAGCGGAAGAATCAAAGCGTAGAAAGTAAGGGGTAGAAGATGGTGCGTGAAGGTTAGCAGAACCACTCATAGAGTGAGGAGAGAGAAAACAGCATAGGACTGGGAGGGGCGTAGAGGTGGGGGTTCAAGTGAGGGAGAAGGTTGAGCAGCTGACTAGAAGAGTCTCAAGTGAGTGGGGCGTTTGGAGGCGGAGGAGGGGAGAAGAAGCACAGAGAAAGCACAAGGTGGAGGAAGAAGAGCGAATAACCCTTAGAGGTGGACGGAAGAGTCCAATGAGGAGGAATTGGGGAAGAGATCCAGTGAAGCACAATCCAGATGAAAGACGCTCACCTGCCACAGGGCATGGGGTCGACGTGGCCAAGGAGCTATCAAGATGGGGGGTTATGGACGGACCAGAACTGAACCTGTCTTGTGGTGCTGAGACATAGAAGGGACTGGTTCTGGAAACCCAGACAAGACCAGGGATCTCCGGATCCCTTCCTGAGGGATCATAGATCAGACTGGCTTCTGGGTAAGACCTTCCTTCCTGCCCACTCAAATCCTTTTAGGGTTCCTCTCTTTACCTCCGCTTGCCTATAAACAGCCTTATGGAGGAATTCTGTCATTTCCAATTCTGCGCCAACATCTGGAGTTTCTCATTTTTAAGGTTACGAGCTTTGTAGAAATGGACAAGGGAAATAAATAGCCCAGAAATGATGCTCTTAAAGTTGAAGGCAATGGGGATATTTAATTGGCAGTGGTGGTGGTGTCCTGAGTTGCAGAAGAATAACCAAATGAAAGAATATAGTGAGGAGTCAGGCTCAGTTCTAGCCCAGGAATACAGACCATAGGGCAGAAAAGAAAACCCAGAAACCTCCCCACACAGGAGGTTGAAGGTTGAGGCCGGAAGATTGCTGTGGGTTTGAGACCAACTTGAGCTACAGAATGGGTTTGCTGGGTTACAAAGTAAGACCCTAGTATAGACAATGAACTAAAATAAGGAGCTGGAGGGATGGCTCAGTTGCTAAGAACTCACACTGCTCATGCAGAGGACAGGAATTAGGTTCCCAACGCCCTGGTGGGGTGGCTCACACTGCCTGTAGCCCCAGCTTCAGGGGATACAAGCCCCTCTTCTGACCTCCATGTGCAACTGCGACAATATGTGCATAATCTCACATAGACACACATGCAGACACATAAAAATAGGGGTTAGAGAGATTGCCCGGTGGTTAGCGCAGCAGTTTAAAAACACTGGCTGCTCTTTGAGAGGACCTGGGATTGGATCCCCAGCATTCAGATGGTAGCTCACAACTGTTTGTAACTTCAGTTCTAGAGGATCTGATGCCCTCTTCTGGCCTCCATGGACACCAGTCATGCATACAGTGCACAGGCATACATGTGGAACACAGACATACATGTAGAAAAAAAAACTGACCACATACATAAAATAAAAATGAAATTAAAAAAAAAATAAGTAAGTAAGATAGGGATGGTGGCTCACACTTACAATCCTGGTACCTAGGAGGCCAAGGCAGGAAAATGGATACAGCTTCAAGGGTAGCCTGGGTTACAGAAGTGGCTACTAGGCTAGCGGGGACCACAGAGTGAGACACTGTTTCAAAACACCAACAGCAATAGTAATTGTATTTAGTGCTAGGATTTGGTTTCCAAACAAGATGGGAAATAAGAATATTGACCACTGGGAATAAGATTAAGAAATGAATATGTTTAAGGCTCTGACATGGAAACCCTTAGAGAAAAAAAAAAAAAGTCTGCAAAATACCTGGTTTGAGACTTGTGCTTTCACAGAGTCTAAGAGACCAGGACCCATTTCAAGCATTTTTCATTTCTATGTGGCACAGTCTTTCAGAACTCCTTCCGGGTTTGAAAACAAATGCTACACTGTTGTCATCTGATGCTCATCACCAAGTTAGGCTTGCTGCTTTTGTTTGAAGATTTCCATGACAAAGTGTTAAAAAGCTGGGCATGCTGGCTCACACCTTTAATCCCAGCACTCTGGAGGCAGAGGCAGGCAGATCTCTGAGGCCAGCCTGGTCTACAGAGTTTCAGAACCATCAAGGCTATGTAGAGAGACCCTGTCTCAAAGGAGGGGAGGTGGAGGGGGGAAACCAACCAGTAAAACAAAACAAGCAAACAAACAAACAAAAAACCCTTAAAATTTGAAACAGGATACAACTTCACCTATTCAAAGAATTACTGTGTAGAAAAAGAATTACATCTTACAGAGAGTTTCATATAAAGAGAAATTTTGAGTCAATATGAAAATGAGTTAGCCACAGAGGAGGAGGCATGGCCCTGACAGGCAGGCTCACACTAAGAATTACTGATGCACACAGGAAAGTAGATCCTACTGAAGATGATCACATTCAGTGAATTCAACCAGGCTCAGAAACACAAGTATGTTTTCTATCATTTCTGGTTCCTAGATTTTAAACTGAGACATCAAAGCATGAATGTATGTATGACATGAAAATGTAAGTCAGAGTGTCCAGGAGAATAAAGGGGGCTACATGGATGAGAAAGGGGGAGCAGAGAGCTGGTGAGATGTTGAGCACAAGATATTGTATGAAACCTCACAACAAAATAAATTTTTAAAAGAAGAATTACTAATGCACAGACCTCAGAAAGAATGGCATGTCAGGAAATTGCTGTCACTAGTAAGACTCTGGGGCGGTCATCTTCCAAAGTCCCTTCTAATTGTAAGATTCCAAATATCAGCCAACAATTGACCCATGAAGCTGACCTGTGGTGGTTCAGTTCCCCTAATCAAAGCAGAACAAATTTACCTTCCCTCCCAGGTAACTATGCTCCTGGCTTGAACTTTCATATTGCCTCGTTCATAGGTCCCCAGTTTTCCCGTATAATTGTATCCTCACGAGCTCTTGAAAAGTCAGGACTGTAACTTACAGGCACTAGTTCTCTCCTTCCAAGGCATGGGATGTGAGACTGAACTCAGGTAGACATGGCAGCAAGTACCTTTACCTGCGGAGCCTTTTCGCTAGCCCCCATATTAGAATCTTTGACTCCTAGCAGATGCCTTGTGCATATTGGGCCATTAAAGTATTTTCTGGAGCATGCCCTTCGAGTCGGAATCTTGGAACACTATGTCCCTTCTTGCCTTTTACGTCTATATCTTCCTTCGGCACCCTACAGGTCGATGCCATATCCTGTATCTTATCTGTGTCTCTAACTCAGACCAAGAAGCGAGAGTCCTATATATACCTAGAAATGTGAGGAAGACAGCCTTCCTTCCACATTCGACCACTGACTCCTTGAGATGCTCGGAGGATACTCCTGAGCCTGGTTCAGTCACTGAAAGCATCTTCACTGTGACAGCTCAGAGCCATCACACCATCACACCAGCACAAGCAACCATGGAGAAAACTTAAGATGGATTGGCTCTGTTCCATCTGATCAGGCAGCCTCTCTGAATTTGCTGGTATTCAGTATCTTTACACTATTCTCTGACTATAAAGAAGAAGCAGGAGTGGGAGGAAATTCCACAACGTGCCAGACACCTCCTCAGACACTTTCCACTGCCGATCACTTGGTTGTTGTAGTAGGCATAGTTTTTATTTTTGCACTTTTCAGACAAGGAGGCCGAGAGTCATTGTTTAGTTATTTGCTATTCAACATCTTAAGAGAATGGGACAGTGGTTGACAGAGATGGAAAGGGGAGTGGGGAGGACAGGAAGTTAATAAACGGACAGAAAAGCACAGAGGAACTAGTTCTGCATTTTCTGTATCACAGTTAATGGATTATAACAGCCTGTGATAAGTTTTCAAATGATTAAAAGTGGGCTGGAAAGATGGCTCAGTAGGCAAAGGTGCTTGCGCCAGTGCTGATAACCTGGGTTTGGTCCCCAGAACCCACATGGTAGAAGGAGAGAACTGACTCCTGCAGGTTGTCCCCTGACTGTCTGCCACATACATATGCATACACTCATGCACAAACATTAAATAGATAGAACATTTAAAAACAAAATCAGAGAAACCACAGGCATGATCCTTGCCTGGTTATTCTCCTGATCTGCTCGTGACATAATGTACCCATCTATCAAGTTATCATCACTCACATCATAAAGATGTCCAGTTGCTATGCTCCACAGAAACAAGGTTTAATAAATTGTACAAACTTTTAAATTGGGATTTGAAATCAGATCTTCCTGACTCAGAACCATTTTTACAGAAAACATCAACAGCAAAACTCTATTACACAAGCCTCAAGATTACAGGCCCTAGAGGAGACCACTGTGACCAAAATGACACTGTGCAGTCCTGACATCACTTGGTCTCCAGCCTGGTCCAATTTACCTAGAAAAACATCCAATATCCATATACACCACCAGAGGGCGCTAAATCTCACAAACTTGACTGCGCTTCCAGAGATGTTAAATGTCTCACTTGGATCCGGACTCTCTTCAAAAAGATTAGCTGGAATAAACATTTTGCCAGGATAGCTCTTCCTAGGAAATAGATCTGACCTCCCCCTTCTCTGTTTCAGACCTTCAAAGGGTACGTAACATGGACAACTTAACAGAATGCCTCAGGACAGACACACCTTCACAGGCACCTCGGCTGCCCTAGTCTCCCCCAGCACCTCCCTTTCTCCATGCTTCCCTTTCTCTAAGGTGTCTCTTCTGTCCCTGTCGCCCATCACCCTAGTCCACTCAGTCCAACAACAAACCACACTCCTTAATCCACATCTCAGCTAACTCCTAACCCTCCTGCTCCAATACCAACCATGACAAAAACTGTGTTTTCTGTTTCAAGTAAACATCTCCAGCTCCCTGAGGTACTGAAAGGTCCCAGAGGACAAACCCTGCTTTATAGGTGTGTACATGCCCAGCCCTGCCAGGGACTAAACTCTTGTGTGCTAACCTAAGAGCTCCTAATTAAAGCCATCCACCTGCGACTCACTTCAGGAGGCACCTTCAGAGGATCAGAAGCAGAGTTCATAAAGATATTTTAAATTCTTCACTCTAGGCTCAGATTCAACTTAAAACATGTTGCAAATCAAGCCAAGATGGCCACCTATGGCTACAGCATCAACACTTGGAGATATTAGCCAAAGGATCTGTAGTTCGATGTCAGCCTTGGCTGCACGGGGAGTATGAGGCCGGCCTCACCTATATGAGACCTGCTAGCATCAGCCCTTACGCATACTTCCTCCCTGCAAACACCCCAGTATTAATCAGTGTTCTAGCTGAAGAAACTATATCAGACTTACCATCTTACTTAAATAAAGGATGAAGGAACACAGGGAACCAAATGCACTTTCCAGAGGTGGGACAGCCGCTGGCTCCTCTGCAATTGTCTCTAGTTGCTTTTGTACATCTCCATCCCCGACAGGACCACCTTCCGTTACAAGACCTAAAAGGGGGCAACGGACAACGTATTTTCTTTTATGCTTTGAAAGAAGAATTTTTCTCTTCATTTAAATGTTCACAGAATGCCCTCTAAATATTAGTCACTCAGTATCATGGTTTTAATATGCTTGGCCTAGGGAGTGGCACTATTTGGAGGTGTGGCCTTGTTGGAGTAAGTGTGTCACTGTGCTTGTGGGCTTTAAGAATCCCATCCTAGTTGCCTGGAAGTTAGTATTCTCCTAGTAGCCTTCTGATAAAAAACTCTCAGCTCCTCCTGCACCATACCTTCCTGGATGCTGCCATGCTCTCACCTTGATGATAACAGACTCAACCTTTGAACCTCTAAGCCAACCCCAGTTAAATGTTGTCCTTATAAGAGCTGCCTTGGTCATGGTGTCTGTTCACAGCAGTAAATCCCTGACTAAGACACTAAGCATAGAATATTTGCGACTCCTAAGGAAAATTACATGAGAAAAGCAAAGCCTCTAGGACCTTAACTGGATCCATCAGAACCTTCATTTATAAAACTAAGATCTTCTCCAGTCTGTTGTCCAGGTACTCCATCGTGTCTCTTGTCCATTAAGGGGAATTGAAAACACAACACACGATTTTATACATTCTCCATATAGATAGAATTGCCAGGCAAGGCATGCGTTTAATCCCTGGACTCTTCACTATGACATTTTATACACTGTGTATTCCATGGAGAGCAGGGGATAGTACCCTCGTGACACTGAACGCTTCTTTTTTATAGCTATGCTTTACGTTCACACACACACACACACACACACACACACACACACTAGTGCTAGAGCTGTCAATCAGTGGTAACACTAACCTACCGTGTAGGAGGCCTTGAATGTGATCACTAGCACTGGACTGTTGGGAGCTGACTCTTAGCCAAAAGTGGCTATCATCTTTACAGCCATCTTGAGCCATATACCCTGACAAGAGACTTGTTTCAACAGCCTGTAATAGCTGAGCGCACTCTGATAAACATCTTGTTACACTGTTTAGTGCCCCCAGCTGCCAGGTGCTCCTGGTATCTATGGCTACAAGGCACGTGACGTAGTGGCTTCAGTTGAGATTGTCCACGAGGGCAAGTCACGTGGTAAAGGGTATAAATACCCAGGATTTCCCTTCTATAGGGGAGTAGAGGAGTAGAGGAGTCGAGGAGGTAGAGGTAGAAAGTAAGAGGTAGTAAGTAGTAGGAGGTAGTAGGAAGTAAGAAGTAGAGGAAGGAGAGAGAAAGTGAGAGGTGTCAGGAGACTGAAGGAGTGAGAATAAAACCCTGACCTGCCGACCGGAGCAGCAGAACTGGCCGGCCTTTACAAAGTAACAGAACCTGACGGCCGTTACAAAAAAAACGGCCGCTACAAAGTGGCGCCCAAAGTGGGGCAGCAAGAACCAGAGACCCAGTGAGAGACGTTACTGGAAGGAGGATTGACTGAAAATTCAGAGGTGAAACAGAGGTGATTGCCACAGAAAACTGCCGTGTGGAGACCAGTAAGTCATAGTAATAATGGGGCAAGAAATAAGTCAGCCTGAACTCAACTCTCTGGTTTTGTTCTGTTGCTTGCTGTTTACGTGTATCAATTGTCTGCTTTTGTTTCGCTGTTTAAATGTTGCCTTTCATGCCCAAAAGAAAAAGAAACACATAGAATCCAAAATAGGACCAAAGGTTGAAGTAATCAATTTGTCAGACCCAGATTGTGCTGACCTAGAGGAAGAGACAGCCAAATATTTTGATCCTGAATGGCCTTCTTCCCGAAGGCCCCCTCCCTGTGCTCCTCCACCTCCAGATGCTCCTGCTATGGAGATGGTGGTTGAAGATCACAGAAAAGAGTTGCAGGACAAAATTTCTTTTCTTAAACAACAAATTTCTCTCCTTAAACAACAAATAGAGTTAAAAGAAGAATATCAGGACTTAATTAGTCAGATACAAAAACTAAAGACAGGGAAGAGGTCTCGAACAGACAAGGAAAATTCCTCAGGTCCTCGAGTTCCTCAACCTGGAGTCCAAAGACAGCCCCTGTCCTCTGGTTTCAGTTCAGCCACAGATCAGCCAGAGGAGGGAGAGGTTAAGGTTTTCCCTGTATCAGAGACTAGAGACGCTCAAAGAGTTACCTAGAGACATCACACAGGGTTTAACTTTCAAATTATTAAAAAATTAAAAAATTCAGTGTCACAATATGGTGCCACTGCTCCCTTTACTCTTGCAATCTTAGAATCTGTTACAGAGGAGTGGCTGACTCCTGGTGATTGGGATACTCTAGTGAGAGCAGTTCTTAGCGGTGGTGACCATCTTATTTGGAAATCAGAGTATCATGAAAATTGTAAAGAGACAGCTAGGAGAAACATTCAGGCAGGTAATGGTTGGTCCTTTGATGCCTTAGTAGGAGAAGGACAATTTGCTTCTAGTGATAACCAGATACAATATGACCCAGGCTTATTCGCTCAAATTCAAAATGCGGCCATGAAGGCTTGGCGCAAACTCCCAGTAAAGGGAGACCCTGGTGCATCTTTGACCTCAGTCAGACAAGGGCCTGATGAACGATTTTCTGATTTTGTTCATCGATTAATGACAACAGCAGGGAGGATTTTTGATAATGTAGAGGCAGGTATAGATTATGTGAAACAACTTACATATGAAAATGCCAATTCTGCCTGCCAAGCAGCCATTAGACCCTATAAGAAAAAGACAGACCTTACTGGGTATATCAGACTCTGTTCTGATATAGGGCCCTCCTACCAACAGGGCTTAGCTATGGCAGCCGCCATGCAAGGACAATCAGTAAGAGACTTTTTGGCAAGTAGAGACAAAAAGGCCTGTTTTAAATGTGGCAAGCCTGGACACTTTTCAAAATATTGCAAAACAAAAAATGAGTTAACCCAGAGACAGCCCAGAAAACAGCCTGGGCTATGCCCACGTTGCAAACGTGGAAGGCATTGGGCTAGTGAATGTAGGTCCAAGACAGATACACAAGGAAACACCCTTTCCTATAATCAGAGAAACGAGAACAGGGGCCAGCCCCAGGCCCCGAACCAATACAAGCCAACACAGGCTTATGGGGCAGTCAGTTTCATACCGACAAACAACAACCCCTTTCAGAACTTAGTCGAACAACACCAGGAAGTACAGGACTGGACCTCAGTTCTGCCACCCACACAGTATTAACCCCAGAAATGGGACCTCAGGCCTTACCCACTGGAGTGTTTGGACCACTCTATCCAAATGTGTTTGGCCTGATAGTGGGAAGAAACAGTACTACTATGGAGGGACTACAAATTTTTCCTGGAGTTATAGACAATGATTATCAAGGTGAGATTAAGGTAATGGCCAAGACAATACAGAATATAGTCACCATTCCTACAGGAAGGAGGATAACTCAACTGTTGTTACTTCCATTGATTCCTACTAATCATAAATCTTTGGATTCTGAAAGAAAATCTGCTGCAGATAGATTCTGACATCCTAATACTAAAAAGAATTTTACAACAGTCCTCTGGAAAGACCCATTAACTAAAACCTGGAATGGGCCAGATCCAGTGCTTATCTGGGGAAGAGGATCTGTCTACATATATTCCCAAACGACAGATGCCACACGATGGCTGCCAGAAAGACTGATCAAACAAATAGACAATAATAACAAATCCAGGGAAGAGAAACCCCCTGAGAAGCGTATTTTTCCTTTACAGGAAACATGAAGATGCTTCACTGGAGCGAATCAACCAGTATACCTGACTTGAGAAGTTCTCAGTGCGGAAGAAGACATTACCACCCACACCTCCAGGGTGGCTCTTCTCAGTGCGGAAGAAGACATCACCACCCACACCTCCAGGGTGGCTCTTCTCAGTGCGGAAGAAGACATCACCACCCGCACCTCCAGGGTGGCTCTTCTCAGTGCGGAAGAAGACATCACCACCCACGCCTCCAGGGTGGCTCTATTAGACTCTTGGTTCCCTGATTTATGATTTAGTGGTACATTGTTTAAACCCTAGAGAAAACCCATTACCATAGTTACTATAGTTGTGTTTTAGGTTTGAGATTGATTGAGACAGAAATAGAGATTTTCTTACTTGTTTTGTTAAGATCAAAGCTATGATCAGTTCTGTACTTATATAGATTAGATTTATAAAATAGTGTTATAGAATAAAAGAGACTTATACTTTTTACTCCTCCAACAGAAGAAGTTATATACTACCCTTAAAAAGAGTGTTATATTTGCGCTAACCATTCAGACATTGCTAAGTCTCTTGTCTCTCGAGTTCATGCTGCTCAACAAACTGATGGCTTTTGTACTACAACAGATAGACGTTACACAAATGAAACCCATACAGGTCCATTATTACAGGCTGGAAATAGGAGACTAAAACCTCTGTCATCAAGACTGACGAAGATTAACCCTTAACTTACACGCTAAGCCGGATAGTCAATGACGGGTAAGAGAACACCTCAAGACCCTTGCCCCTAACTGGGAGGCCTCACCATCCTAAGACAGGAGCTCAACCAATGGCTGTTGAGTATCCAGAGACGGGAAAGGGAGGCTGGGGTCTTTTGTTCCAACCTAAGGCAGGCACGGTTTCCGTAAGTTTTCCCAGCCTTCCCTTTTGAAAACAAATTTAAAAAGGGGGACCTGTTGGGAGCCGACTCTTAGCCAAAAGTGGCTATCATCTTTACAGCCATCTTGAGCCATATACCCTGACAAGAGACTTGTTTCAACAGCCTGCAATAGCTGAGCGCACTCTGATAAACATCTTGTTACACTGTTTAGTGCCCCCAGCTGCCAGGTGCTCCTGGTATCCATGGCTACAAGGCACGTGACGTAGTGGCTTCAGTTGAGATTGTCCACGAGGGCAAGTCACGTGGTAAAGGGTATAAATACCCAGGATTTCCCTTCTATAGGGGAGTAGAGGAGTAGAGGAGTCGAGGAGGTAGAGGTAGAAAGTAAGAGGTAGTAAGTAGTAGGAGGTAGTAGGAAATAAGAAGTAGAAGAAAGAGAGAGAAAGTGAGAGGTGTCAAGAGACTGAAAGAGTGAGAATAAAACCCTGACCTGCCGACCGGAACAACAGAACCGGCCGGCCTTTACAAAGTAACAGAACCTGACGGCCGTTACAAAAGAAACGGCCGCTACACTGGACCACCCCACAAAGCAAACCCCAGTAATCACATCCTCATATTACTGTATTGGAGAGCAAAATCGCACAGTGAGAGCATCTTGTTTACTAGTGAAATGAGAGTGAGCTATATACAACAATTAGGAAACCACTAATACCATTATTGGGGATGTTTAGAACAAAAAATGAAAAAGAACTTTTTTACCTTCCACCAATAGTTCCTGTGTGCTGAAATCAAGTATTTACAATTACAAATGTCAGTCTGGTTTGGACTGTCATTCCCCCTAGATCCCCTGTTGTTTCCTAAAAGCATACCATGGGAAGACACTTGGACGCCTCACAGTATTTTTAAAAAGCTGTATTTGCCTCATTTGGACAATAAATAAAAAAAAAAAGAATTGCACTGTAGCCACTCAGAGGAATGGGAGTGAACAGGGAAACCAGGACCTTTAAGCTGAGACTTGTAACGCTCAGCCTTTCCTGGGGGCTTATTTCACATAGCTTGCAGTCCCCAGCCCAGCACTTCTTGTGCTCCTGTCTAACAGGATGTCTGCCTTAGAACATGTGGCCTTTGAAGGATGGGAGCTCAGTTTCATCCTGAAATGATTTATAGTGGCCGGACACAGCCAAACACTGGTTTGCATGTTAATGGCAGTCCCTGGCTTTGTTCCTGTTTTTAATCTCCATGCATCTGAACTCTTTTCCCTGTCTCTTGTAGAACATTTATACACACCTGAATTGGTCTGACTTTCCTACCTTAAAGAATAAATATTCTATGGGCGGTGGTGGCACACGCCTTTAATCCCAGCACTTGGGAGGCAGAGGCAGGCGGATTTCTGAGTTCGAGGCCAGCCTGGTCTACAGAGTGAGTCCCAGGACAGCCAGGACTACACAGAGAAACCCTGTCTCGAAAAAAAAAACCAAAAAGAATAAATATTCTAGCAGGACTTCTTTATAATACACCTCTACTTCATAGAGAAAAACTATAAAATTTACCTAGATCTATGTCTTTCTTGATGTTTGGCTTCTGCGATACCTCTGAGGCACTTGTGTACCCAGTCTCAAGTTGATCCAAGCCATCAGGGTCCTCTGGAAGCTGCCCACTCGTCACAGGGTGAGCTGAGAGATCAGGGTCGTCCGGAAGCTGCACACTGAGATCTCCTGTGTTTTCTTGTGGTAAGCTGTCTTGCTGGGGTGGTTGCATCTCTGGAGAAGAACGCATAAAGAGAGCTTGATCAAAGATCCATTTTGGTTCACCCAGCTGACCAGTACTTCCTCATCGCCAGCCCATTGCCCTAGAACCCATGTGCACAGGTAAAAAGAGAAGCAAGAGTTGTAACTTCTTTCATACTAATTGACAACAAAGTACAGATTTACAAAACATTTCATAAATGCATTCACGACAAAGACTTCACTGACTTGCCGTGGCAAGCCAGAATATGCCCACGCAGACATGCAGAGGAGAATTCCAGTCCAACAGAGAACCCAGGAACAAGAGGAAGAACAGTCGTGTTGGTCTCATAGAGCCCATAAAGAAGGGCATTCTGCACATGGACAGCTTGCTAAAGTGACTTTAGAACACTATCAAGTACTGTTTAGAATACTTCCAAGTGACAGTAGGGCCATCTTCCCCATGAGCCTGAGTGATAGCACACTATGACCCATGAGAAAGATCATTTCTTTGCAGCCTCATGCTTTACCCCCCCCCAAAATTATTTGAGTTTTAATCTTTTTTTTTAAATTATTTTATGTGTTTGGATATTTTGTCTGCATGTATGTGTCTGTACTATGTATATGCAGTGCCCAGAGGGTATCAGGTCACTTAGACCTGGAGGTCTGATGGTTGTGAGCTGTCACATAGGTGCTGAGAACTAAACTCAGGTCCACTGCAAGAGCAGCCAGTGCTCTTAACCACTGTGCCATCTCTCTAGCCTGAATATTTCATTCTTAACCAAAAGCTTCAATTTTAAAACATGCTCACGGCGGACGGTGGTGGCGCACGCCTTTAATCCCAGCACTTGGGAGGCAGAGACAGGCAGATTTCTGAGTTCGAGAGTTCGAGGCTAGCCTGGTCTACAGAGTGAGTTCCAGGACAGCCAGGGCTACACAGAGAAACCCTGTCTCGAAAAACCAAACCAAAAAAACAAAAAAACAAAAACAAAAAAACAAAAAAAAAAAAACCCAACCATGCTCATTTCTCCCAGTTCTCAGGAAAATTAGCACTCTAGGAAGACAGGTATCTGTACCTCTGCTCGACACCATTCACCTTCTGTACAGCTACTTTCATTTGCAAAGCATGGATACATTGAGTACAACACGTATAGGAATCAGAAGCTTCTGTCAGGGTATCCTGGGGTCAATTCAATAAGTATATACTTGTGTTTGTCCAGTGCTGTAGGAAAGCTCATCCTGGCTCCATCCTTGACTAAGCTAACATAAAAACCCTAGGGCCCAGTATACACCCCAGTGTATAAGAAGTAGGAGATAACAGGATGCCCACAAAAGATGAACAGTACGATTCCAGCTATGAAAATCAAGAAACAAAAACAAGTCTGCCGTGTGACCCAGCTACACCACTCCCAAGTGTTCACCCAATGGACTCCAAGACAATGTAACACAGAGACACACATCAATGTTTACTGTAACCCTAGTCATGACTGCTGAGATAAAGAAACAACCTGGAGGTCCAACAACCGAGGGATGGACATAGGAAATGTGGTAGAATCTTTCCAGTTGTGAGGATGAATGAAGTTATGTTAGTTTCAGGAAGATGGGAACAGCTGGAAATCACCATGTTAAGTGAAGTAAGTCTGTCTCCAAAGGACAGACATCACGGTTCCTCTCGTTTCTGGATCTCGGGATTTATACAGGTATACAAAATCAGTTATGTACATATGACATGAAAATTGAATGTTCCTGTCTAGAGAAACATGGAAGGCTAGCTGGAATGGGAGGGATGAGGAAAGGGAGGGTGGCGTGGTGTAGAGGACACGATGGAAGTACATCTCCTATTTTGAATGTTATAAAAGCACGACAGTGCTGAATCTGCACGTTTACTAATAAATACACGAAGAAAGTGTGTTCATAAAGCCCCTCTTATAACCATACATGAAGAA